GGGGAATTTTTAGTCCCAGGGGAATCCGAAGCCCTCTTCTGACCTCTGTGGCATTGCACGATACGGGTGCACTCACATACATGCAGGCAATATGCTCATACACATAAAATAAAAATATTTTTTTAAAAAGCAGAAAAAACAATTTATGTGTATAGGTGCGTGGTTGCATGTTTATATGTGGACTGTGTAGGTGCCTGGTACATTTGAAGGCCAGAAGAGGGCATCACATCCTGGAGTTACAGGCAGTTGTGAGTTCCCATGTCGATGCTGGGAACCCAACCCAGGTCCTTTACAAAATCAGTAAACGAATTTAACCGCTGAGCCATCTCTCCAGCCTCTAGATTGATTACCTTACAGCTGTATAAGTCAGAAGTTTCACTAGGTTTAAAGCAAAGTGTTACCAGAACTGACTCCTTCTGGAGTTTCTGAGGAAGAGTCTGTCCCTGCCTTTTCCAACTTCTGAAGGCTATTCCTTGACTGGTGAACCATCTTCAAAGCCAACAGTGCCAAATCTCTCACTGACCAGAGTCCCCTTTCCTTTTCTTTTTTACACACTATTACAATTATGTTGGGCTCAGTTTGCTAATCTCAAAATCCTTCACATCTATAAAATCTTCTCTGTAAGGTAATGTAATCCTAGGGATCAGTACATGGACATTTGGGAGCTTTCATTGTACCTTACCTCACTTCATCTCTCCAGCTTCATTTCCCTGGCTATTAGAAACACGTTCATCCCATCTTTGTGCCTTATGTCAATATTTTGTCATTCAGTATCTTACAGTAGTGTCTCTGAATTGGCCAAACTGAGGTTACCCACAGTGGTGGTTTGAATGAGAATGTCCCCCATAGGCTCCCAAGTATTTGGACATTTTGTCCCCAGTTGGTGGCACTGTTTTGGGAGGTTTTAAGAGACATAGCTTTGCTGGAGGAAGCACATCATTGGGGGGAAATTTTGAGAGTTCTTAAGCTTTGCCAGATTTCTAGTCTCTGCTTCCTGTGCCTGCTTGAAGATGTGATCGCTTGGCTTTCTGCTCCAGCAGCCCCCCCCCACCGCCCCCCATTATGGACCTTACCCCTGGAACTGTAAGCCAAATAAATGCTTCTTTCTATAAGTGGCTTTGGTTGTGGTGTTTTATCACAGCAATAGAAAAATAACTAATGGACCTATCCATTCCTTAGCTTCCAAGCTGGGAAAATTCGTAACTTACACTCTGCTTCCCACCAAGACTCTTAAAATTGAAATATCACCAGACACTGCAGTGGTTCAGATGCTGAGAATTCCCCCAAAGAGACAAAGAGCCATGATGCCTGTGAACTCAGCCTGGTTTTGAATGACCAAGATTTGTTTTCAGTCCTCATAATTGTTTGTATGGCTCCAGACATACCTATCCCACTGTGTTACCAAACTACCTTATAATCTCCATTATCTTCCCCTATGCCCCTGGAAAATGCTTGCTTATATTCCATGGTAATACAACCCACAGACCCTTATCTAAGTTCCAAATCCCAGAATCTTAGGCCATAGAAACATTATTCCTAAATTATCACACTTAGTTTTCTCCGACCAAGAGCACCAGGAATCACCTGTAGCTAGACAAATTTTGGTGTACTGTCTCATTGCATCAAGGGAGAACGCATCTTGTGGCTGTTCAACTGCCTCTTGTAGGGGGAGGGACCCCCACTATCTGTAATGCAAGATGGCCAAACATACAGTACTGACATTGGATTAGTATGTTTCACATAGTTCATTAGTCATATGTACTCACAGTCCATGGTGGGACAAGCAGGGCCTCAGATAGATGCACTAGGTTGCAGAGGTAACCAGCAGACATGTGGGAAGCAGGCTTTGTGGTGACCAAGGTATAAGGTGCCTCCAGCTTCCCACAGGAGGATATGATGGATTGTTTATTTCCAAGGACTAATGGGAAGAGAACTAGTGGGTAGAGACTGGTAAGTCTGAGTACAGCTGGTCTGGCTGATGGAGGAACTAGCCAGACAGAAGCCTTCACACTGGATGAGGCATGCCTGTCAAGAGCAGAAGTCAAGGGCCCTGTGTGCCCAAGTCAAGGCAGCACTTAAGTTTTTATATCCCATAGCACAGTGGGGACCCAAGAGGGTTTGTGATGAGAGAGTTCAGGAGATAGCTTAGTGGGTAAAGTGCTTGCTGTTCAAGTACGAGGGACTGAGTTTAGATCCCCAGCACTCACATAAAAAAACCAGGCATGGCGGCATCTGTCTGCAACTTCACTAGAGATCAGAAACAGGCAGATTTTGGAGGCTTGCTGACCAGCCAGTCTAACCAATCAGTGAGCTTCAGGATCAGTAAGATAAGTATTAAGCCAGCTCCTGGACATAGATGGACATAATCTGCACTTTATTTTTTGGAAATTTTATTTTTGTTTATATATGTGTAGCAGCACACGTGGAGGTCAGAGAGTTGGTTCTCTCCATCATGTGGGTTCTGGAGATCAAACTCAGGTTTGATTAAAAAAAATATATGTGGAGGCTGGAGAGATGGCTCAGTGGTTAAGAACACTGGTTGTTCTTGCGGAAGACCTGGGTTCAGATCCCAGCACCTACGTGGCAGCTAACAACTGTCTGTAACTCCAGTCCCAGGGGATCCAACAGCCTCTTCTGACCTCCACGGGCATTGCACGACATGGGTGCACTTACCTACATGCAGGCAATACACACTAGAAAATTTAAAGCATTGCTAAAATACAAGGTTTATGAAAGATTATAGTGGTAAAATAATAGTAATTTCCTGAAAATATATGAGTTTTTTTGTGTTTTTGTTTTTGTTGGTTTTTGGTTGTTTAGAGACAAGGTCTCCCTTTAGCCCCAGCTGGCCTGGAACTCGCTATATAGACCAGGCTGGCCTTGAATTCACATTATTTGGGGGCATGTCTGTGAGACCATTTCCAAGTCTTAGCTTGGGAGTCTGGTCAGATTAGGTGGGGAAGATCTACTCTTAGTGTGGGTAAGTACCATCCATTTAACACAGAAAGGGGCAATGATGAGCCTGTGAGATGGCTTAGTAGGTAAAGGATCCTGCTGCCAAGGCTGAAGACCTGAGTTGAATTTCCACAACCCACGTGATGGAAAGAAACCAATTCTGGAAGGCTATCCTCTGACCCCTACATATATACCGTGTGTGGACAGACAGACAGACAGACAGACACACACACACACGACACCATAATTTAAATAGAAAGGGCAGATATGCCTATCTGTGTCTAGGAACTGGGCTACATTCTTCCTCCCCTGCTTTTGGACTCCCAAGATTTATACCTGTGCTTTCCCTATACCCCCCCACCCAGCATCTCATGAGGCCTTTGACCTTGGACTGAGTCCAAGGAACCATAGGCTTTGCTGGCTCTGAAGTCTTGGGACTTGGCCTGACCACACTTTTGGGCTCCCAGGGTCTTCAGCTTTTAAGACAGCCTGTCACAAGACCTCAATCTACATACCAACAGGAAGAAATGCTCATAAATCTCATATATCATTGTATCCTGTCATTTCTGTTTCTCTGGAAAGTCCTGACAAATACATGTTAGGATTTATGAAGCCCAGCCTGGTGGCACATGCCCCTAATCCCAGCATTCTAGAGGCTAAGGCAAGAGAATCACCTTGAGTATGGGGCCAGCTTGGGCTACATTGTGATACCCTGTCTCAAAAACAAAAAGGAAAGCACTTACCTACCGGTCTTCATATTGATCAGTTTAGTGTTTGAGGAAATGGAACAGCCTTTCCAGCTCTTCTGTGGGAAGCCAGACAAGAATAACCCTTAATCAGAAGGCATGGGTGCTTAGTGCCAGGAATGTGAAACCAGTCCTGGGTGGGCCAGAACTCAGGGCCTCCTGAGTGGACCTCCCTAAGAGAATAGGACAGTCCAGCAGTTGTTCTGTCCCGGAACTGATCAAGTAGGGCTTGACCACAGCAGGGCCCTACATACTCTTTTGACTGTGCAGTAGCTGACCCATGACCCTGTCCTTAAATTTTATAAAGCAGAGCCGGGTGTGGTGGTGCATGCCTTTAGTCCCAGCACTTGAGAGGCAGAGGCAGGAGGATTTCTGTGAGTTCAAGACCATTCTGGTCCACATAGTGAATTCCAGGCCAGCTGGGGCTACAGGGAAACCGTCTCAAAAAGAATAACAACAACAAAAATTTTACAAAGCAGGGCCAATGAGACGACTCAGCAGGAAAAAAGACTTGACGCACAAGCCTGATGACCTGAGTTCAATCCTTGGAGCTCACATAATGGTGAAAGGACAGAATGGATTTCACAAAGTCATTCTCTGACCTCTACATTGCATGTTGTGGAACCCGCATACCCCCCCCACACCATACACTCCCACAATAATAATAATAAAGTAAATAAAAACCTTATAGACCAGGACTAAGACCCTGCTCAGGAGGCCTGGGGTCTGAGTGAGCCCCAGCTCTTATCAGGAGCAGAGCAGGGTTCAACAAGGGCATTATCACCTGAGCTGTTGAGACACACAGCTCAGAGCACCCCACAGCCTTCTTACCTCCTTGCCTTCCCCATCAGAAATAAGTGTCTGGGACCAGAGGTGGCTGTGGCCATGTCCAGTTTAATTATTCAGGTTTTTTTCTCACCCTCTTCCAAGAAGTGAGCTACCTCACCATCACCTACCTTTGTGCTGCTTAGAAAAAAAAAACAAAACATAAACCTTACATAATCAGAGAACTGGCATGAAAAGGCTGCCATTCATGCTTTAAGCACCTATTCTAGGCGGGGCTCATCCAGGAGCCACCCACCCCACACCAGGCTCTCGGAAGCATGCCTGCTTGACCATGTTCTCTGGTGTCCTAGCAACCAGAAACTCTGATCTGAGCTCTGGCCAGGACAGAAGCCATTCCTCGCTTGACCACTGTGAGTTAATGCTGTGACTTACCACCTCTCTGAGCATCTCAAGACCTGTCTGGGTAGCAGTTCAGACAACTGAAAGTCATCACTTGTCCCCAAGGACACCCAGAAGCTCTCCCCTACCAATCTATCCCCTGGCAGGATGAGTTTCTCAGTCACATTCACTGAGCTGGCCAACATTGCCATACCTCAGTGTGGGGTGGTGAACTTCAAGGCCCTGCATCTCCTGCTCCAGGGCATCCTGGAACATATCGAAATGGCTGAGCTTAAGAAGGTCCTTTCAGGGGATGAGGATTTCCTCCAAACTTCACATGTGATATTCATGCCCAGGGAGGGAGACGCCCAGCCCATCCTCAACCCCATGAAGCGGCTCAGCAATATCTTCGACCATGTGGTAGACCACATCAACAAAATAGAGAGTCAAATGTCCATGCTGCAGTCTATGCCCTCCACCACCCAGCTGCTGGAGAGCAGTAAGGGGGCCAGCCGGCCCGCAGAGGACCTGTGGAATATGATCAAGCTCCAGAAGAGGGTAGAGGGCAACGAGGAAGCCACAGCAAAGGTAAGCCCCCAGCCTGGAGAAGCCCTCCAGACCCCCATTCTCCTAGACATCATCCCCTCTTTCCCATTGTGATAGGATATATCTGCTTACAGAGAGAGGGCAGAGTGAGGCCTTAGAGTCAGTGAGAAGCAAGCCTCCAAGCTTACATCCTTTGTCATGTACTGAGGAAATGAACCATGCACAGTAGACAACATAGTGTAGGATTCTGTTGATGTAAAATACCCAGAATAGGCAAATACACCCAAAAGACAAACTGGCAGTTTCCAGGGACCAGGGGAGGGAATACAGTGTCATTCACTGGATGTGGGATTTCCTTTTAGGATGATAAAGATGTTTTAAACTTCATTAAAATGATGGATGTGCAACTGTGTTCATGAAGTAAGTGCAACTGAATTGTTCACTTAAAAGGCATGGTGGTGCATGCCTTTATTCCCAGCACTTGGGAAGCAGTGGCAGGTGATCTCTGTGAGATTGAGGCCAGCCTGGCCTACATAGTGAGTTCCATCCAGGCCAGCTGGAGCTACAGGGAGACCCTGTCTCAAACAAAACAAAACAAAACAAAATTTTTACTGGGGGTATGGCCCAATGTGTAAAGTGGTTTCTATGCAAGCATGAGGATATCTGTTTAGTCCCCCTGAACTCATATAAAATCCAAACACAGTAACCTGTGTCTGATCTGTCTGTCCCTGCCTCTGTTGTGACTAAAGGTGTATACTACCATGCCCAGCGAGAGATTTTTTTTGTTATACATTTTGATGTGTATGAGTGTATTGCCTGCATGTGTGATAAGTACACCTGTGTCATGCAATGCCCTAGGAGATCAGAAGAAGGCATCTGATCCCCTGCAACTAGACATAAGTGGTTAGCCACCATGTGGGTGCTGGAAATCGAACCTGGGTCATCTGTAAGAGCAGTTATTGCTCTTAACTGCTAAGCCATCTCTCCAGCCCTGAGAAAGAGATTTTTGGCCTGGATTCACTATGGAGACCAGGCTGGCCTTGAACTCACAGAGCTCCACCTGCCTCTGCTTCCCAAGTGCTGGGATTAAAGGCATGTGCTACCATGCACAGCGAGAAAGAGATTTTTTTAAATGATTTTTTTAATGAATTTTTTTTGTCTTTTTGAGACAGGGTCTCCCTGTAGCCCCAGCTGACCTGAACTCACTATGTAGACCAGGCTGGCCTTGAACTCATAGAGATCTGCCTGCCTCTGCCTCCCAAGTGTTGGGACTAAAGGCATGTGCCACCACACCCGGCTTAAATGATTTTTTAATTCAGGCTAGAGTGTAGCTTGATAGAATGCTTGCCTAACATGTATGAACCCTGTATTCGATCCCCAGCACCTCATAAAACCAGCCATGTGATAGAAGCCTATAATCCAAGCACTTGGTGGAGGCAGGAGGATCAGAAATTCAAGGTTATTCTCATCTACATTGTGAGTTCCAGGCCAGCTTGGGCTATGTGAGACCCTGTCTCAAACTACAAAATATTGTGCTATGTGACTCTTACCTCAATAGAAAGAAATTGAGGACTTACCATGAGGGTGGCACCACAGTAGTCATGGTGACTAAGAGCTTCAGTCTTAGACAGGGGAGACAAACAAAACAAATGAATATAAATCAGTGGAAGTAGCCATGTGATGAAGGGAAAGTACATTAGCCCAATTCTTTATGTGGGGAAACTGATACCCAGAAATGCTCATCAATTTGGTTGAGGCTGCAGTCAGTGGTGTGTAGAACTGGGAGTTAAGTAGAGTGCCCCGACTCCAGTCTCTACCTTGGAATACCATGATCCCTTGCCTCCCTGTGCTAGCATGTAGTTACATCAACAAAACCAGTTCAAGAGGGAATAAGAAAGGGAAAACAGTGCCTGCAAGATGGCTCAGAGGATAAATCTACTTGTCACCAAGTCTGATGACCTGAGTTGAATCCCTGTAACCCATATGTTGCAAGGAAAGAATTGACTCAAATAAGTTGTCCTCTGACCTTCACATGTGCACCATTACGTGTTTGTGCATGCAATATAAACATAAATAAATGTAGGGGCTGGAGAGATGGCTCAGCAGTTAAGAACACTGGCTGTTCTTGTAGAAGACCCATGTTCGAATCAGCACTCACATGGCAGCTAACAGCTGTCTGTAACTCCAGTCCCAGGGGATCTGATAGCCTCTTCTGACCTCCACGGGCATTGCACGACATGGGTACTTACCTACATGCAGGCAATACACGAATACACATTAAAAAAAAAAAAAAAAGCCGGGCATGGTGGCGCACACCTATAGTCCCAGCACTTGGGAGGCAGAGGCAGGTGGATCATTGTGAGTTCAAGGCCAGCCTGGTCTACATAGTGAATTCCAAGATAGCTAGGGCTACAGGGAGACCCTGTCTCAAAAAGACCAAAAATAAATA